CTATCTGTAGCTGTTCAAGAGATGTCTTCTGGCAAAGCTCCAGGATTGGATGGACTTACTGCAGAATTTTATAGACATTTTTGGCCTGTCATTGGAAGGGATTTGTTTTCTGTTTTTATGGAGAGTTTTGAAAGAGGGACACTTCCAGTGAGTCTACGTAGAGCTGTGGTCACACTATTGCCTAAAAAGGGTGATCTTGAAGACATCAGATGTTGGCGTCCAGTCTCTTTACTCGGAGTTGACTATAAGATACTTTCAAAGTCTTTAACTAACAGAATTAAACTCTACATTTCCTCAGTGATTAATGCAGATCAATCATACTGCATTCCAGGAAGGACCATTTTTGATAACATTTTTTTTTGATTCGGGACTTGATTTCTTTTGCTAAGGTACACAATCTTAACATTGGATTTGTTTCTCTGGACCAGGAGAAAGCCTTTGATCGGTTGGATCATGGATTCCTGTTTAAGTGCCTTGAGTCTTTTGGTGTCGGTCCATCTATTATTGCCTATATAAGACTCTTGTATACGGATACATATAGCATGCTCAAAATTAATGGTACCCTGACAAGACCTTTCGGAGTAAACAGAGGCATAAGGCAGGGGTGTGGTCTCTCAGGAATCCTATATGCCATTGCTATTGAACCTTTATTGGTTGCGCTAAGGAAAAAGCTGGGTGGCATATCAACAGTGTGTCCGTCTACCTCAGATCTGATAACTGCTAGACTTAGTGCCTATGCTGATGATGTTACTGTTATCATTAGATCTGCTCAGGATGTTATGGATTTGGGAGTAGCTCTGGAGGTTTATCAGAAAGCCTCCTCCTCTCGAATCAATTGGCAAAAGTGTGCATCCCTTTTAATGGGTGAATGGGAGAATGAGGGCCCTCCAGTACTTCCGCAGAACTGTTCTTGGAGTCTGGAAGGATTTAAAGTGCTGGGAGGTTTCCTTGGGACTGACCAATATATTCAGAAGAACTGGGATGGTATTTTCGAAAAAGTTTCTGGACGTTTACAAAGATGGAAATGGATTCTGTCTCAATTGTCATATAGGGGAAGAGTGCTCATTATTAACAACTTGGTAGCTTCCATGATGTGGCATCGCCTAAATGTGCTTGACCCACCAAAAGAGTTGTTGCAACGTCTGCAGAAGACTTTTGTTGATTTTTTCTGAGATGGCTACCATTGGCTTCCCCCTGGTGTCCTTTATTTGCCAGTGAATGAAGGGGGCCAAGGGTTGATTGATTTGGCAGCCAAGGTTAAAGCTATGAGGTTAAAGATGGTCCAAAACCTACTCTACCCTGTGGATTTTAGGCCATGGGTGTCGTTTGGTCTGGCTTTGCTCAGAACTTTTGGTGGCTTCTGTCTTGATAGGCAACTGTTTTTAATGTCTTCGTATGATGGGAATTTCTCAACCAATGTAAAATTTTATGGTTCTGTGCTAAACCTTTGGAAAGGTTTTAAACTGATTAGACAGGAAAACAATCATGTTGGCCTTGAAGAGCCACTGTTTTACAACTCTCTTCTAGGAGATAATATTTGTACATCTAATACAATTGTTAAAACTTTTATGGATTCAGATAAGTTTCAGACTTGGTTAGCACTTGGTTAGTCTAAAACATGGAGGTCAGTGGTGGACATTTGCAGTCAGGCTGGTTTTAGATCAGTCAGGATGGTCGAGTAGCTCATAGGTGGGTTGAAAGCAGCTCTTCCCTCCACACTTCTCCTGTTTGTTAATTGTTTTCTGTCCGGAGGCCCTTCTAGAGTGTTTTTTCCTAAGTTATTTGTGTCTCCCAAGGGTTGGGTTGAAGAGGGTCGGGAAGGAAAACTGTTGAAACTTAACCGATTACAAGAGCTTGATTTTCAGGTTATGTGTTAAAATGGATTATTTTGAGCATATTAAAGACAGAGGTGATACAAAATAGAGAGGATGGGAACTTGGGTTTTGTTTTTAACAAGACACTTTTTATCTATGGATGTATGTATTCAAGAGTGCACAGACAGCAGTGTACTGTTGCAAGCTTCATAATCGGACAAGCCAAACTAGCCATTTGGAAGTCATGTAGACTGGCTGCTGAAGGACGAAATATAAATATTCTTCAGCTTTTTACTGCTTTGGTGGAATCCAGAATAAGAGTGGAACATAGATTCTTTCAAATGACAAATAACTTGCTTGAGTTTGAGTTCAAATGGTGTGCAAACGGAGCTTTACTGGCACTTTGTGAGGATGGGGAAATAATGTTTAATTGGTGATATATGGTTGTCATTTTGATTTGTTTTTTTTATATATATGCCTCCTGAACACATTGCAATGTGATATCTGTGAGGTATAATGTAGCGTTTGTTGTTAGATGTTTTAATAAAGTGTGTTAAAATTCAAAGTCTCTCTCTCTCTCTCTCTGTGTGTGTGTCTCTCTCTCTCTCTCTCTCTCTCGCTCTTTTTTAAAGCTACGCCGCTCTTTATTTATTGCGACTGTATAGAGCAGTAGTTGTGAATTGATTTAATTTCTTGTGGAGTGGAACCATTTAGCGCAGATGGAGAAAGACGTCCCGCTGCTCCGGGATCCAGTCTTATAATTGAACAGGAATTATATTTCAGGTTCTCTCTTCTTTAACAGAGTGGGAAGTGACTGAGGTTTGCGCGGCTCAACGGCTCGACTATTAGCACACTTCACAATGACTTCTCCAATCACACGGCTTTGTGGAGTTTATTTAGCGCCGGCGCACTGCTGTGTTTGCAAATAAAGACTTCCTTCTGTCACACACCGAATCATTTGTTAAATCAAGCAAAGTCTTATTCGAGGTGCAAATGACTTCAGGCTTCATCGGTGTGGGCCGATGGCTTCAGGACGGTTCAGTGCAACCGCAACTTGCTTTTCATTTTGGTTTGGTGCGAGTATGGAGTATGAGAGGAAGACGAATTGCAAAATTATGCAGAAAAATATAAATGCTTTTTATGGAAAAATAAATGCAGGAAGATTGTAACACTTGTTTATTTGTGGATTTTTGTCTCATTTATTCACAGTTAATTCATGTGAAACATACTGCTTTAATAATTGGTCATTTTGACAGATTGTTTTATCAATTCTGCTTTGCCTCACAGGAATTCATTTCATTTTAAAATATATTCAAATAGAAAACGTTATTTTTAATTGTAATATTATACTATACTACATATGAATTATACATTTTAAAATAAATATACATTTAAAATAATACATTTTAAATAAATTTTTATTTATATTATTTTATTAAATTTCTTAAAATATATAATAATATTACATAATAATGACACACACACACACACACACACACACACACACACACACACACACACACACACACACACACACACACACACACACACACACACACACACATATATTTCTCAGTTAATATCAATGGTATGACACCTATTTGAGATGCGGCAGAATTATAACAACAGTGGTTACACACACATATATTTAATTATTTGATCAAAATTATTGCTAGGGATAATTTAGTAGTGGCTGATATTGGTAGGGACCTGTCATAGCGTCTCTACTAAACTCTACACCCTTGAAAAAAACCTCCATGGTTACTACACTTTTGCTAATAATAAAACCATGATTATTTTTTAAGGGATTTGCATTTGTGTATACTTTCTTTCTTTGTTTCTTTTTTTTTTTAATAACTGTACTGCCTTAATGGTTTGAAGTTTTGTACTGCTTAATAAAAATATAAATAAATAAATAAGTAAATAGAAGATTCGCTATGTATATATATATATATATATATATATATAAACTGAATAGTTCTAGCATATATTTCTTAATAACTAAATTCCACAGCTTCACTACTAGTAGAGAGACGCTGCCAGGTAGAATTAATTCACACACGCAATCGCTCTCACTAAAGCATTCATATTAATGTAATCTTTACTGTGCTACTTTATCTGTATCTGATTTAGAATGAGCAGAAATCTGTGAGAAATATAACAACCCAAAGACAAAAGAACTGATAAAAATGAGCTGTTATAGGAGCAACGGCCGTGTGGGCAGCGCTGTGTCATCTGCTATAGCTGTGCACAAAGTTTGTCACAGCTCCAGACTTATTTGTTCATTAATGACGTCATCAGCGACTAGCCGACTTCGACTCGACTTTCATCACATAAAAGTCGACTTCAAAAAATCAGAATTCGTTCAACCCCTAATATATATATTTATAACTATTTACATTTATACATTCAGATTTATAACTATATAGTCAAATTTATTTGAATAGTTTCATACTTGTATTTACATATTCAGAATTACTTTTATATATTCTGATTTACATTTACATTTAGTCATTTAGCAGACGCTTTTATCCAAATATCCAAAGCGACTTACAAATGAGGACAATAGAAGCAGTCAAATCTAACAAAAGAGCAATGATATATAAGTGCAAATGACAAGTCTCGGTTAGCCTAACGTATATTTTATAGCTAGCCTATATATATTATACACACACACAAAGAAAAAGAAGTAGATAGAAAAAATAGAAAGCTAGTGTTTTTTTTAAATAAAAAAGAAGATAAATAGATAAAGTAGAATTAAAATAGAATAGAAAGTGCTAGAGTTAGAGGGTCAAATTTATAAATGTGTATTCAGATTTACAGATTTTATATAATTTATAATTATTTATATAATAATTATGATTACTATTAATTATTATTATTAATTATCATTACTTCATAAGTAATATAATAACACATTTTAATTTACATTCATTTATGTTTATTTATTTATTTATTTATTTTATATTATATCCAAACACAACCCACATATGCTTGTATTCTGAAAACAAAACAAATAAATATAAGATGTAGATGTTTGCATGTTTTCCCGCTCAGAACATCCTGCTGTACTCAGACCTCCAGGAGTCGACCTTTGACCTGCGGCAGCTGCCGACTCACCGCTTCGAGGCCATGGATCATTTCAGCAAGTGTTTCCTGATAGTGAAGCTGAAGCGTGAGCAGGAGACGGACGCTAGAGCGGGGCGGGACTGGAGAGCTGTGAGGGTGGATCTGGTGGCTCCGCCGCTGGAGCGCTTCGCTTACGCTCTGCTGGGATGGACGGGGTCCACGGTACGAGATCACATATCAGCGCTCTGATTGGACGAAATGATTTTAGCACAACCACTCAGATCTAGGACTAGATCACCCAAAAATCAAGCACTACGTGTCCCGACACACCTTTCACATGCTCAGAAAAATATTAAGATTTATATATTTGAATTGCATATCAAATGTCCATTCATTTGGATTCCACAGTTTTAACATTAACAAACTACTAAACGTAATGGGATGCATATTTGTCAGTCATACATGAATGAAACAGGTCAGATTTCTACACTTAAAAAAATAATAATTTGCATAGTGTATTATTAGATATTTCATTTTATATAAATTAAAATGAAATGTAATTTTGAAATGTATATAATTATTTATGTATATAGTTAGCTGGTTAATTAAATAATTAATATATTTATTAATTTGTTAATGAAATGTTTGTTATGTAAGTGAATGTAAGTGATTATATAAGTAATTACTACATATTGCCCAGTATATACTTAATACTGACTACGAAAAAAGCAATAATAATAATAATAATAATAATAATTTTCCATTAAATTTATTTTTATTTTTAATTAAAAATTGTATATTAGCTTAGGAAAAAATGCAACCAAGAAAAAGCAATAATAATAATAATAATAATTGTTTTTATCTTTATTTTTATTTTTTGATAAAAAATTGTATATTAGGAAATATTGTAAGTAAGAAATAATAATAGTAATAATAAGTTTATTTTTAATTAAAAGTTGTATACCTTTAAATACATTTGTAGTTAGAAATTCTAAATAAATTATGTTTAATTATTTAAAAATTCTAAATAAATTCTAAATATATATATATATATATATATATATACAGTGGGTACGGAAAGTATTCAGACCCCCTTCAATTTTTCACTCTTTGTTATATTGCAGCCATTTGCTAAAATCATTTAAGTTAATTTTTTTTCCTCATTAATGTACACACAGCACCCCATATTGACAGAAAAACACAGAATCGTTGACATTTTTGCAGATTTATT